CACGCGTGTGTGTATGTGTGCGCGCGCGCGTGTGTGTGTGTGCGTGCGCGCGCGTGTGTATGTGTGTGTGCGCACGCGTGTGTGTATGTGTGCGCGCGCGCGTGTGTGTGTGTGCGAGCGCGCGCGTGTGTATGTGTGTGTGCGCACGCGTGTGTGTATGTGTGCGCGCGCGCGTGTGTGTGTGTGCGAGCGCGCGCGTGTGTATGTGTGTGTGCGCACGCGTGTGTGTATGTGTGCGCGCGCGCGTGTGTGTGTGTGTGTGTTATGTGTGTACGTGGACGTGCGTGCGTGCGTGCTTGCGTGCGTGCGCGCGCGCGTGTATGTGTGTGTGCGCGCGTACGTGTGTGTGCGCGCGCGCGTGTGTGTGTGTGCGTGCGCGCGCGTGTGTATGTGTGTGTGCGCACGCGTGTGTGTATGTGTGTGTGCGCGCGTGTGTGTGTGTGGTACCGAACCATTGCTCTCAATTGAAATCATTTGACAGTGACAACATAGGTCCATGCTGTGATGTTCTAACATTAAATTACGATTCTCCTGCGAAACGTATGTTTACTAATTCTTTAAATAAATAAAAACGAAACGAACGACACTAAATCGTTCGAATGAATCTCTCACATGCAGCATTCAGTCGATAACAACTTTAACGAAGGGGTGCCGACGTTTTGCGGCACTCCGCAGATCTTTGCGTCGTCGTCTGACGCACTCTCCGGTCGGCTGGTGAATTTCGGAACTTCGCTTTCGTTTTTCGTAGCGACGCTTGCGGGTTTTGGATGTTTCACGTCATCGTTGTTCCGGGGATCTATTTCCGGCATGACGTTGTCCGTGGATGACTCCGCCAGGGAAAGCTTTTCCACCGCCAGGCGGCGTCCGCGCTCGGCATCCTCCCGCTTCTGCTTTCTCCACTTAGCTCTACGGTTCTTAAACCACACCTGCAAGCACACAAGTTATACGGACGTTTCATTATCCGTGCATTTACGGTATAATCAGTTTCCACGCATCGTGTGTAATAGACCAAACACACGAGGGGACTCAACGACCCTATCACACCCTGCGTAGAAAATTTTAAAATGAAAAGAACAACATATGGTTCAACGAATCGAGATTGTTTGGAGACCACAGCATTTGTTTACGGAGGTTTTACAGCCAAATGGCTAGCGCACGCGTCGTCACCGCATTCCGTACGTATATAGTATTGTCACACCGCGAGCTGTGTTTGCCGCCCAGATTACGCGGCCAGCAGACGAGAGAGCGTGGTCGGAATATCAGACGCGGCGGATTTCATCGCGGGTTTGAGAAAAAGCGGTGCAGTGCGCAGGTGGCTCGGCCCTGCCGCACCCATGAGCAATACTTATAGCGGGCCGAGAATCGCTCATTTCAATTAGGATTATGTGAATTTATTTACGGCTTTGCGCGAACTCATTCGATAATGCACTTTACACTCGCAGCGCTTGCAGGCGGATCAGAGCCGATTGGTCGGCTGAAAGCTCCGACGGCCGCGGCAGGAAAACGCGGTGCGGAGCTTTGCGGGAGAGCACGCCGGCATGTTTATATGTACGGCGGCAGCGTCGATGCGTGCGGGACCGCTTGGAAGGCTTTGTTAACCAACAGAAATCGCGATTTGTATAAACTGTTGGGCAAATATAAAAACGAGGGCTAATCCTAGGGCGCCTTAGCGCGCGGTGTGACAATGGTTGGAGAGAGAGAGAGAGAGAGGAAGGTTTAGGGAAGGGTTGTGCTGTGGCGGTACAAGAGAACATGTTCTTAGCTATTGTGCTCTTCTTACGTTAGAGATTTCGCCGTAACAACGACGTGTACATAATCCCGATATTTTTCCCACAGAATTATACGTATATTTAATGCACCTTATGGTCATTAGATTCACGTATTATTGCGTTTGTACTATGAATGTTTGCTAACAACATTTAAATACTAATGCACAAGACGCAGTTATTTCCAAATACTGAACATACACACGCACACACACGCAGACACACACAAACACACACACACATACACACACACACACACACACACA